TGCAGATTCGGGGTCCTCTCGCCGAGCGCAGAACGGCCCCGGTTTCAAAAAAAAAAAAAAAAAATTCTGGGCGTTTTTTGGCCCAACCGGTTTACCCGGGCGGGCCCCCCGGGCCCAGCCCAGCCAGGCAGGCCCGGCTGGGCGGCGTGCTCACTCAGACTAAATTAATAAATTAAATTCAAATAAATTACTAAAATAAATAAATAAATAAATTTCTCCGCATATAAATGCCTAAGTGTCCAAACTTCTCGACGGAGCCTAATATACCTGCAATCCTCGTGACAAAATTTTCAAAGGAATTGCAAAAGAAAAGAAAAGAAATTGTAAAATCAGTCCTTCGGGACATCCGTTAGCATAGCCCCTGCGCAAGGCGGACACACCAAAGAATCACGATACTTTCCCAGGCACTGCCTGTTCTGTCTTCTGAAGTCCAACGGTTGGATTCAGAGATAACTTCCCCTTCTGTTCCCAAGGGCACCCGTATCCAGTAAACGGGTCCAAGTCGCGACCACGAGATCTACTGTTTAAACTTTAAATCCCGTGTGCCTCCCTCCCAAATCACACTGAAAACCCTCCCTAGTCCACAGAGAAGGTTATCCCCTGTGGCTTTGGCTAATTTTGTCAAAGCACCAAGAGAAACCTCCGGGGGATACAGAGGACACTCTCAACCAGTGTGTAGGCTATCGCTCCTAAGGTGAGGCTATCACTCCTATGCTGAGTGCTAAGCATACAATCAAATGTTAGGGGTGTTTTTGAAAAACATGGACAGGTTGCATGTTCCGGTCAATGAAAGACGAACAAGGAAGCTAGGGGCATTGATGAGAAACACAGGCCAAGTTCCCAGTCAACAAAAGAGGCAACAGAGAAGAAGCTTCATATTGTAAGCTTCTTAGCTAAAATTGTTTTTGAGTTCTCCATAAGGACCATATACTACCGTCTTCACCCGAATAGATCGCCCGGTCATTATAGCTGTATTCGGCACAACTTTCAGTCCAGATGCAGCGATAATGACCAGGTGTTCTATTCGGGTGAAATCGGTAGTTAGCAGAAAACCAAAGTAGCAACGATTCCAAAGTATTCCAAATGGTGAAAGTAGAAGCAAAACGAAACAAAATTGGCCAATTAAAGAGCCTATCAAAGCGATTGAGTCAGTGGAATCACCCTTTATAAAAAAAGCCCTCGCACAAAATATTTGAGAGGGTGTAACGCAAAATACCGTTAGGCATACATGCAAGCGCTCGCTGTGCGGGCAATTCCGCACATGCGAAGCACAAGCCGCACGGTTCCAGTGCGGCGTACACCCAGGAAAAAAAGGGGGTGGCAGGCCTAGATCAGTGTTCACCTGCACCCCCTTCGAAAATTTGTAGTAGGATGGGGGGGGGGGAGGAGGGGGGGGTTGGAAGAGTAATTTCACCACTAAACAGTCAAGACTGATGTCCCGAAGACCTATTTGAGGCTACTTATGATGCCCAATGAGACAAAAAGAAAGATTAGTACGACTGTACTTGAACAGGATCATTCCTTAGGTACACTCTTCTGTATGTACGAGAACAGCAAAAAAACAAAATAATAATAATAATAAAATTCTGGCGCGGCACACGGGCAGAGCCATTTGTGCGGCTCGTGCGGTTGCAAGGATGTTAGGAATCGGCAAAGAATTCCCAAGCAAATGATAGGTAGTAGAGCCATTTGTGACAAACAAGGGCCAAGTTTCAGTCAACAAGAAACCGGCAGAAAAGCATGGTCGTTAACCGGACGGCCCGATCCCGATCCACACCGTCCGGGTCTGGATGTCCGGGTCAAGTGTCCGGTCGGGAAGGTCCGGTTTGCCCCGGTTCTAAGAAAATTTGATTTTTTTTTCCGGGGGTCCCAGGCCATTTTCCATGCCCTGGGCGCCCCCGGAAAATTGCTTTTGTTATTTTTTTCGGTTCAGGGGCGTAATACAACAGGCCCTGGAGGGCCTGGATGTGCTATTCTACAGCTGAGCATGAGCAGTTCTTGGGGGACCGAAAATCGGACGCAGTGGGGAAGAGCCAGGGCCTTGTTGCAGCTGTGACAGCAGGTGCCACTGTTGTTACAGCTGCTGTTGCTGATGCAGCAGCTTTTGCAGCTCCAGAATTTGTTGCAGCCGTTGTTGCTGCTCCAGCAGCACCGCTGCTGTAGTCACATTTGCCGCAACCAGCCACATGTGCTCTATTGGTCCTATGGTCATGCTCGGAAAGTTCACAGCCTGCAGGCTTGCGTTTCATACACCTGAGTGCTTTCAACGTTCGTTCAATATCAAAATTGCTGACGGGGCTTTTTTTTGGGTGGGGGGCAGTTGGTCCTAGGTAGCTGTGTGGGGTGCCCCCAAAAACATTTGAGGGGCCCAGGTCGAGACGGCGTGGGCGGCCTACGCCTGGAGCCTCTTACACCTTTCGGCCCTGCCAGCTCACTCCAACCCAGCGAGCGTCCCCCTGCACTGGAAGTTTCCTTCCGGATCTGGACTCTTTTGTGCCCAGATTCAGAGGCGAAGCAGCGTTGTCGGGGCTAATACCCTTACAAGGGCATTTGCCCTCATTTTTGCAATTGGCACAGCGAAGGCATCAGTTGCCATGACAGTGCCGGTCCAAAGTAAACAGAGCGTACGCTCGTCATAACTACTTTTGAGGGCAGATCTCTCGACCAGCAGGACCAAGGCTCGCGAGCGAGAAAATTGGTCCGCTTACAATCACACTAGCGCGCTGCACGCTAAAATGGTTAGAATACCTGTTACATACTTCAATGAGTATGGGCAGAACCAAAGATCAACCAATGTAGGATGAGCATATATGCAGCGGAAGTCTGATAAACGGACTGACTGACTCACACAGACTGACTCAAGAATCACTCCACACACATACAATCGTGAGATGGTGGGGTCTGGGCCAAGCATAGACGATGCCCAGACCTCGTACACACATACACAGATGAGAGGTGGGAGGAGAGACGAAGGAGGTGGGGGAGGTAGACAGCACCGAAGGTCACCGAGATAGAATCTGATAGGTCACCGATATGGTAGTCCAAAAATGTCATCCAACAAGATCAGAAYGTCGAGGACAATAGGTCAACAATGTCGGAGGTGCAGAGTCCAAATGTAACCGGTGTCCGAACTGTGATGCAGCCGAGTATCAACCCCAACAATCTCCAAGTCTCCAATCCGGTAAGTACCACAGTCTCATACCACCGAAGTCCAATACTGATCTCTGTCCAACTAGTATAAGTCTCCAATCTGAAGAAGAAGAAGAAGAAGAAGAAGAAGAAGAAGAA